CTATGTACATTTCATTTCATCCTTAAAATAACTCATTGAATAAGTTAACTGTTATCAATCCTATGTTACAGATTAGGGTGCTATTACTAATGCCATTTTCCAGATGAAGAAATCAGGGTGAAGTTAAATATAACTTATTCAAGGTTACATAACTGTTAAGTGAAAAAGGATTTGAACATCAATTTTTGTGAATCCGTACTTTCAGTCACTATGTGCTATAGTCAAGGCACTGCATCAGCAGGCATTTACCTCAGAATATTTTTATTGATGTCTCTACCAACTCCAGACTGCAAAAGGCTCTGCGTCTCAACAATTTGCACAGTCCTCAGAATAACTGTTGAATGTGACAATATGTAGCAAATGTAGCCATTCAGTACAGCTCAGAAAGGGAATATAAAACCCACTCTGCCCCTCTCTACCTGTGTGTATAGTGAGATAAATTGCTTTTGGAGACTTGAGTCTAGAAGTTCAGAATCACGAGAAAGTTGCTAATAATATCCCCTTCTCCCCTCAAGGAAAATTTAAATTTCAGGGAATGAAGTCTAATCAGAGATTTTTCTTAACCCTATTCTAGACCTCTTTACCTTGGCCATTCTGAGTGTTATGAGTTAGTTCTTCCTTCAGGAAGGCTCCCTCTCCTGAATTTTGCTTTTTTTCTGAAGTCATAGTGCTGACAGTTGCTGGATATCAACTGAAGAAAGATGACAGTAAGTGCAGAAGAATCTCATGGACTGGCACTCAAAGTCCTCCCACTCTTGAAACATTTTTCTCCACATCAGAACCTTCCATTGAAGGTAGATGTTAAGCTTCACAAGGCTTTTCTACTGATGCTAATAAAGATGAATAATTCTAATTGAGCAGTCCTAGGGAACGTCTGTCTTCTGTTACATGAAATGACAGAGTAATCCTTCTAGATGGTACTGTTATTAATTGGTTAGCAGGGAAGAGAAGCTTCTCTAGAGTTATTTGCTTGTAGTTATGCAAATCAAGCCTTTCAAAGCCTGTGCTCCTGGCAGAGGGCTGAAAGTCTACTAACAAGCCTATATGTTTTATCCACCATTAGCAAAGAGAATGGCCTTATAGAACAAGAGTGATGTCGTAGTCCATAGTCCATAGTCCATTTAGTCTCTGTAACAAACTACCATAAACGGAGTCGGGGGTGCGTTATAAATAAAATGTTATTTCTCACAATTCTGGAGGCTACAAGATCCCACATAAGGACTCCAGCAGAATCATTGCCTGATAAAGGGTCTGCTTCCTATCTTCTTGCTCTGTCTTCACATGGTAGAAAAGACAAACAAGCTCTCAGGAGTCTCTTTTATAAGGGTATTAGGAATAAGGGGTAGGATTTCAATACATTAATGGGAGGCACGGAAGGCACAAACATATAGACCATAGTACAGAGATAGTCCTGAAAATGTTGTAGGTCCCTGAAATAATAATTACAATATCAGTTAAAGATGAACTGGGCAATCAGTTGTAGAAAACTCGGGTTAGTTGGCACTGATTCCTTGTAAGTGAATAGTGCTTACTTTTATATGCTTTATACACAAAAATCATTCTCTTACTGGAAGGTTGACTTATATATTATTTTAGAGTACCAAAGTTTTGACAGAATGGCTCTCTTGATTGATCAGAGCAGTCATACTTAAATGCTTTTGCTTTTGTGAAAAATGCATAGGTTTCAAAATGGTTATACTAATTTATATGCCACCAACAGTGCACAAGGGTTCTATTTCCTCCACATCTTCAACAACACTTAGTATTCTTTGCCTTTTATAACAGCCATTCTAACAGGTATGAAGTGGTATCTCATTATGATTTTAATTTGCATTTTCCTGATGATTAGAGATGTTAAGTATTTTCAAATACTTTTGTTGGCCATTCATACCTCTTCTTTGGAGAAATATCTGTTCAGATTTTTTGCCCATTTTTGAATAAGCTTATTTGTTTTTCTGCTACTGAATGTTTGAGTTCCTTATATATTTGGGGGATTGGCCTTTATCCATGTATATGGTTTGCAAATATTTTTCCCAGTCTCTGGATTGTCTCCTTATCCTAATGGTTTCTTTTGATGTGCAGAAGTATTTTAGTTCAGTACAGACCCACTTGTCTAATTTGCTTTTGTTGCCTGTGATTTAAAATCCTATCCAAGAAATAGTTGCCCAGACCACGGTCATAGAGTCTTTTCCCTGAGGTGTGTGTGTGTGTGTGTGTGTGTGTGTGTGTGTGTGTGTGTGTGTGTATGTTTAGTAGTTTTATAGCTTCTGATCTGACATATAAGTCTTTTATTCATTTTGGATTGATTTTATATATGGTGTGAGAGGAGAAGTCCTTTTTCATTTTCCTGCATTGTGGGTATATGGTTTTCTTGGCACCTTTGTCAAAAGTCAGTTGTCCATAAGTACTTTGATTTATTTCCATGTTTTCTATCCTGTTTCTTGTTCCATTGGTCAGTGTGTCTATTTTTATCCCAGAACTGTGTTGTTTTGATTACAATAGCTTTATAGTGCATTTTGAAATCATGTAGTGAGCTTTGGTTGACTCCTTAGGACAGGGTGGGAACTATTAGCAAACTTGATGCCATGAATCCAAGGCACAAAATCATTTCACTCACTAACAAAATAAATTTTAAAAACCTCAGTAATAACCTCCCTTTTTAACAGAAATCTGGCTTGGCCTCTATTACCAGTAATAGCCAAACAGAATTTAATAGCATGCTTATGATTATTCATTTAAATTTTAAAAAGTAAATCCACTTTTAAAATATTAAATAACCCAAGTGATATATGATACAGTCAAAAATCATAAATGTGGTACAAATAACCAAAATTTTAAAAACACCGAACAAGACTGTCATTTCTAGAATTTCTTCCAAATTGTAATTTTAAATATGTACTCCAATAGAATAAAAGATGTTACATGGTAAACCAGGTAAAGAAAGGACCTTCTAAGCATTTTATTTTCCTTTACTTTTAAATATACTGTTGTTGAGGACAATAAACTTATTCTATGCCAGTTTTATCATTGCTAAGTATAAATATCTTTTAAAAAATATTTTACTAGGCAGTTGAGTATTTACATCTTTTTGATAGCATGTTTGTTGATGATGTGTAGTTGGGTTTTCTTCCCTTAAAGCAGTCTAGTCTGATTATAGTTTTTAAACTTACTTTGAGTTGTTTTTACTCAGAGGGCAAGAAGCCTGGCATCACTGTATATTCTGACTACCACATGCTGTTTGGCACATGGTAGTGTTCAACACATGCCTGAACAAATTAATGAAGGAATAAATAATCAACAAAATAAACTGAGTTATCTATCTTAAAGGTATAAGTATCATTTTTATTTCTTTCTTAAAGCCGTAAATAGAGCTAGCCTTAAGGAACTTGAGGCCTTGAAGCAGTCAGATGAAAAGACTTTCATAAAAGTGAAATTTGGAGCTAGTTGAACACCTAAAAAAACCTTGTTAGGAAGAAATCACAAAAGGAAAGCAACTTACTAATTTTGCTTATACTTATGGAAAGCAGGATTTATGGTTGTATGTGAGATGAAAGGAGCTTTCTTTATTTTTTTATAAAAAAGAACTACCTTTCCCCTTCCTCTTTTATTCTTTCTTTTCTCTCTCATATACTTCTCTGATTGGCTCCACATCAGGAAAAGCACCCCACTTTTCCTTGTTTAGAGGAGACTTTTACAGCTTAATTTAAAATACAGCTCACTCTTTTCCCTCACACTCTTAATTACAGTCCCTCATCTGATAAAGGGGCCTAATAATTCTTTCTTAACTGACGCCCTAAATGAACCACAATACTGATGGTATTTTTTATTGCCATTTATTCATGCAACAAGTATCATGTTTCAAGGATTTTGTTTTCAGAACCATGAAAGAGGTTTTACATATCAGCAGAGAGATTGTTAACCAGAGGATTTTAATTCTTTAGTTATATTAAGCTAAAAACCATGCAGTTAATTTTATTGACTGCATTCCCAGATTATCTATTTTTAAACATTTTGCTTATATTTATAGAAAACTATGTTTCATACTGGTAAATATATTTTAAACATATTCTGGGTTTATTCTCTACAAATGTATTCTTTCGTTAATGGTCCAGTGACTGTGATTACAATATTTATGCACAATGACAGTACCTTAACTGGAGTGATTTTGTATGTTCAGGCTAATATTTTCTGTTTTGAAAATTCAGTACATTTTATGTCAGTGAAATCTCTGTGCCTATATCTTTCTGTCTCTTAGTTGTTACCAGGTGGTCTTTAATATGTAAAGTAAACTCTAGAGATGCTGGCTATTCCATTGTGGTTTATTCTTATGATTACATTGTAAATTTGATAGAATAACAATAATATTAATGGTGCATTCAGATAATTATCTGAAAAATTATCATGTATAAAAATTTGTATCAAATCTCTATTGAACTTTAAATTAATATCCAGGTAAACAATACAGATTCTGAAACTATAATAGGTTTATTTTTATCTAGGAAAGATAATTTAGAATTATCTAATTTTTTTCAAAAGATATAAATACTTGGCTTATAATCTTTAGGTATTTCTGAGTAATTTTACTCTGTCATGAAAATAATGCAAGAGCCATTTGCTATAATGACAAGCTACAAGTTTTGAGATACTTTCTTTACTAATTTCAAAACAGCAGTAACAACAAAAACAGAATTTTGGTATCTGTACATGTCTACTGGCAAATACAGTATTCTATGATTAGATATTTTGAGTTCTGGATACCATCCTTAACTTGGGGTATGAGGTGATAAGGTAATGGGATTATAGAAATGTTTAGCAAAGGCATACCACCCTGCAGTTTGGCTCTGTCATTCTTGTTCTGGTACCTTAGGCAAGTAACTCTGCAAGGTGAAAACTATAATACTTCTTTAGACTTGCTATGAGAGAGAATGCACCCAAAGTGAGTTCTTGTTACATGGTAGAGAAATATAGTGTGGTGATGATATGTTTTGATATTCTGTCAGGTGAAGTGAAGGACAAAAATGTTCAAGTGGTCGAGCTCCCCATTGTAGACAGTCTTCACCCCCGTCCTCCTTATTTACCCTTGGCTGTCCCAGAAGATCTCGCAGATCAACTCCTAAGAGTCCATGGTGATCCTGCAGTTTGGTGGGTATCTCAGTTTGTCAAATATTTGATCCGCCCACAACCTTGGCTGGAAAAGGAAATAGAAGAGGCCACCAGGAAGCTTGGCTTCAAGCATCCAGTTATTGGGTAAGAATCTGAATTTTCCTCCCTCAAGCAATGACATATAGCAGCAGAACTGTATAATTTTACCTAGTACAATGAGCATTAAAATATATAGTTAATATTCATGGCCCCAATTAAACAGGTTCAAGAGTTCACCTTAAGGCATAGGATGATTATTTTTCCTCTGTTCACTTAGCACAGCAGAAAGAATTGCTTAATAGTACTCCGATACTGTTTAAATTCTTCTCTTCCTTTGGCTCTTCTTCCTGTTATTACATATCTCCTTTGTTTTTAATACTCATATTTCCCACTCTACATCTTTTATGTCTTAGTTTTTATACAGAAAGAAGTTACTGTTCCCTATTAATGTTAGAGCTAAAGAGAGTACCTACATGGTGAAGTCAGAATATTTAGTATTTCATGAAACTTTTCATTGAAATTCAGTGAATTCATTCTTTCTGCCCCACTTCATCTCTATTGAGCATTTGGAACAATTCTAATTCCCAAGAAAAGCAGTGAGTAAAAAGAACATGGTAAGGAAAAGATGACAAAATAGGTGTTCCTATGACTATAGTCTGGAATCTAAAGGAAAGAATAGTCTTGAAGATAGCAGAGTAACCTAAAGAAATCAAACCCTCACTCCAGATTCATAATGCAAAGCTGGCCTTTGGCTTAGCCTGGCGTTTCCCCCTATGCTGTGAACTAAAGGAAAACAAATGTAGCATTTTCCTTTTTCTCCACATGAGTAGTGGTTTAGAAACAGAGGTGTGGAGAAGATTTAAGAAGTCTTTGAATTGTGAAAAACTATGATTGTTAGTTACTATTCTTATTTCCATTAAAATAACTTTGGAAGCACTAAAATGGGGAGAGCATGCTCTGAAGTCTGTGTCTTATTCAGTGCAGACAATATAAATCTGTGTACCACATTTTACAATTTTAGGGCTTTCTTAAACAGGACAGATGAGATCTGTATCTGCTTACATCGACAAGAATAAAAAACAGAAGGAATATTCATTATAAATGCAACAATAGGACTTGGAATGGCTCTATGAAATTAAAATAGTAAAAATTGGGCTGGAGATTTAGCTCAGTGGTTCCCGCCCCTGCCTCGAGAGCGCAAGGTCCCAAGTTCGATTCCCAGTACCCAAAAAAAAAAAAAAAATAGTAAAAATTTTTAAGAGGTTTTCCTATCTTAACAGTGGTGTAGGAAAGGTCCGTATGGGGCTGTGTTCCCTGGAGAACTTTAAATTGTGCAAGCTACCAGCTGTAGTAACTCTACAGGGTAAAATGAAGAAAATAAAATCTTGGCATCAAAACATTACAAACAGTAACTTTAATGGTCTGTAATAATTGTGAATCCCAATATCATTTTGATCTCAAACCAAAAAACTTAAATCCATTTCTTCACCGGACAGCCAATGGGTATTTTGCCCTCTAATATTAAGTGTAATTCTGAAATCTCCCATTTATTCCTACTATATCAATTACTTGCACTATAAGAAAGCATTCTTCAAAACCTTTTCTTATCTAATTCCCCTTCTGTTGTTTCACATGAAAATATATTAAAATATACATGAAGCTTTTTAGAATTACTTGTTTTCTTTTATAAAAATAAAAATGAAAGAAAAATTGGTTAAAATTGCCCCAAATGCTAGCATGATTAGTGGTATAAACTGAGTACTTGAAAAGCACAAAGTGAATGAGTACATTATCAGCAGAATCTGAATTTCTCCCCCAGAGTCCATGTCAGACGCACAGACAAAGTGGGAACAGAAGCAGCCTTCCATCCCATTGAGGAGTACATGGTGCATGTTGAAGAACACTTTCAGCTTCTCGCACGTAGAATGCAAGTGGATAAAAAAAGAGTGTATTTGGCCACGGATGACCCTTCTTTATTAAAGGAGGCAAAAACAAAGTAAGTTAGACCAACTAGTGGGTCTCAGGGTGGGATTGACTTTTTTAATAGAAAAGAATCCTTAATTCTCATGATTTGTGATTCTTGTTATAATATTATTACTAATTATTGCATTTTTAAATTCAAATGACTGTTTATATAGCTGTTAATTTAATCAAAGCTACTTTAATATCTGATGCCTTGAAATAAGAAATCCAAAATGAACTATACCACTGCTATCATCACCAGTGATCATCATTAAACACCATCACCCACTTCTCGGTATCACAGTCTTTAGTGGTCTACTAGAATTGCCATAACAAAATACCATAGACTGGGTGACTTGAATGACAGAAATTTATTTCTCACAATTGTAGAGGCTGGGATAGAGAAAGTCCAGGTGCTAGTAAGGTAGATTTTCTTCTGAAACCACTTTCCTGGTCATATACCATCTCACTATGTACTCACATTATCTCTTCTTCGTGTGTGCTGGAAAAGAAATAGCAGGCTTTCTGATGTTTCTGTTCTTAGGAGGATACTAATCCCATCAAGATGGTGTTAGCCTCATGAACTCACCTAACCCTAATTACCTCCCAAATGCCAAACACCATCACATTGGGTTAAGGAATTTTGAAGGGATATTAACATTCAGTCCATAACATTAACCAACCATGCAGAACTGCTAGCAATAAAACACACTAGGTCCTTGCCCTTTTGATCTTTACAGGCAACAGAATACATGTACACAAGTTGGTTTTGTCTTATAAAAATTTTTGAAATTTGGAATGTATACTACAAAAAGGTAAAGAATTAAAAGATGAAATTTGTAAGTGGAGAAATAAATTCTACTAGCATGTATTGAACAGTAACCATTATTTTTTTAGCCTGTCTGTATTTCAGGCACTGTATTAGATGCTGGGGACTCTTTTATAAGCAAGATACTCCCTGCTGTTAATGAAAGCCCAATCTAGTGAGGGACTAGACAGGTTACACTACAATGTGAGTGATGCATCTATAAGATTAGCATATGATGTTATGAAAACACAGATGATACACTTATTTTAATTGGAAATGCCTTAAGATAGGATTCTGATGAACCTGGGATAGGCCTTTATTTACTATTATTATTAAATATGCATGGAGGTAGGGAACAAGAGAGAAAGAAAATCATAATCCTACCTCTGCTCAGATATCGTCTCCTCTAGAAATCATACCTGAACCTACAACTGAATTGTTTTCCTTCTCAGCACATTGCTCTGTCACAGTGTTTGGCACTTGATTATTTCTGTCTTCTTGACTAGATTATATCCACTTTGAACTTAATACTTAGCTGTCCGTGCCCAGTAAATACTGAATTGTGTTTATTTCAGTCCTATTAGTTTGAAAGCATTTTATTAGCAATGAATCATTTAAACTATTTGGCTAGGTAATGTATTTCTTTGTCCCTTTTTTCTGTCACTGTTGGGATGGCAAAAAAAAAACCAAGAATAAAGCCTATAATGCAGGTAAAATACTCACACACGCACGCACTCATGGGCAAGAAATTCATCAACCACATACCAAAATTAGTTAATGTAAGAGTTAGGGATTAAATGAACATTTGGGCACAAAACAAAATAAAATTTCAGTTTTTCAATTTAATGCTCAGATGTATTAGAAGCAAAGTAGAAATAGTTCACCATGTTCCCTCATTTTAAAACGCCAGACTAAATTTGTGGCTTGAAGAAAAGAATATCAATTTTGTTTACTCTTTCACTTGTTTTTGAATGCATCCAAGCTTTTTTCCTGATTACAGCAAAATAATTCATTAGAAAATATAGAAGTTATAAATAATGAAACCAAGGAAAAATTATTACCCGTCATTCCATTATTCAGTGGCAACAACTGCTCAATATTGACATACTCCTCCCAGTCATTTATATAGTCGCGTTTTTAAATAGTTGACTATATTCTGAAAATAGTTGACTGTATAATTTCAATTCTTTTTTCAACTAATACAGCATTAGATCCATTTTCTCAAGTCACTAGAAAAGGTCATTTATTAGTTAGAAAAGAGTACAGTATGATGTTCTGATCTGTGTATGCATTGTAGAGTCAATCATGGTAATTAACATATTCATCACTTCCCCATCTTATCATTTTGGGGGATATAAAAATGTTTTAAAATCTATTATTTTATATTAAAATAGAAACGCTGAACCGGCTGGAACAGAGGTTAGGTAGAACTCTTGAAGACATTAGTGTAGGAAAAGATTTTATGAACAAAACCTCAGTTGCCCGTGAACTAGCACAAACAATCAACAACTGGGATCTCTTCTTATTAAAAAGCTTCTGCATAGCAAGAGAAACCACCAGCAGTGTGAAGAGACAACCCACAGTGTGGGAAAAAATCTTCACCTGCTCTTCCTCAGACAAAGGTCTACTATCTAGAATCTATAAAGAACTTGAAAAGATCAGACCTCCCAAATTTAAAGACCCAATCCAAAAATGGGCATCTGAAATGAACAGACATTTCTCAGACAAAGAAGTAGAAATAGCAAATAAATACATGAAAAAATGTTCAACATCACTGGTCATTCGAGAGATGCAAATGAAAACAACGCTGAGATTCCACTTCACTCCAGAAAGAATGGCTGCTATCATGAAATCAACCAATAACAAATGCTGGCAGGGCTGTGGGGAAAGAGGAACCCTGCTGCACTGCTGGTGGGAGTGTAGACTGGTGCAACCACTGTGGAAATCAGTATGGAGATACCTCAAAGAAGTAGGACTGGAAGTCCCATTTGACCCAGCTATTCCCCTGCTGGGTATCTTCCCCAAAGAATTAAAAGAATCATACCACGGTGATATATGTGTATGCATGTTCATAGCAGCACAGTTTGTAATAGCTAAAACTTGGAAGCAGCCCAGTTGCCCATCAGCTGGTGACTGGATAAAGAAAATGTGGTCTTTTTATAAAATGGAGCACTACTATTCAGCCTTAAAAAAATGGGGTATTAGAGACATTTATAGCTAAATGGATGCATATTGAGGCCATATTCTTAAGTGAAATAAATAGGACACATGTGTAAATACTGAATAGTTTCTCTAGTGTGAGAAACTGAAAGGGTAAATAGGACTAAAAGGTATAATAGATAATGTGAAATAGGAAAAAAAGGGGCAAAGGGGAGGGGAAGTGGGAGGGGTAGGGAAAAGGAAAGAAGGGAATGGAATTAATATGGAAAAATAGGAACAAAGCCTTTGTAAATAGGGAGGGATGGAGGGGTTGAAGGGAGGGCTGGGCAAGGGTGAAAAATAAGAACCAAGAGAGATTATGTAAAGGTGCAAATTTCCAATGATGAATGTCATTATATTGTATACCTAAAATGTACCAATGATTAGAATGAATAATTGATAATGCGAAATAGGAAGAAAAGATCCAAAGGGGTAGGGGTAGTGGGAGGGGCAGGGGAAAGGAAAGAATGGAAAGGAAAAATGATGAGAAATGGAAAAAACGGAAACAAAGTCTTTGTAAATAGAGAAGGGTGGAGGGGGTGAAGGGAGGGCTAGGAATGGGGAAAAAATAAGAACCAAGATGCATCACGTAAAGGTACAAGTTCCCAATCAGAAATGTAATTGTGTTGTATACCTACAATGTACCAATAAAAGAATTTAATTTAAAAAATCTATTATTTTAGAAATTTTGAGATATAACATACATTATTAACTGTGGTTACTATACAGTGCCATAGATCACTAAAATGTAGTCTTTCAATCTGAGACTTTGAACTCTAAACATATTTCCTTTTCCACTTCTTCCCCCTTTCCCTGCTTCACCCACTCCAGCTTTTTTGGTAACCCCACTCTACTCGATGAGGTTGACTTTTTAGATTCCATATATAAGCAAGATTACACAGTATTTTTCTTTTGTGCCTGGCTTATTTCATTTAGCATAATGTCCTCCAGTTTCATCCACGTTGTCACAAATAACAGTTTCCTTCTTTTTGATGCTATATGGTCTTCCATTATATATATATGTCACATTTTCTTTATATAGTCTTCCACTGATGGACATTTCAGTTGCTTCCGTATCTTGGCTACTGGGAATACTGCTGAAATGAATATGGAAGTACAGATATTTCTGATTTACTGATATATACAATTCCTGATATCCACACTGATATATACAGTTCAATGTTTTTGGATATATATATCCAGAAATGGGATTGCTGACTTGTATGAGAATTCTGTTTTTGCATTTTTGACTGTATACTGTATACTATAAACTGTAAACTGTATACTATACTCCAAAATGGCTGTACTAATTGCATCCTCACAAGGGTTCCCTTTGCTCCACATCCTCAGCAACACCTATCTTTTGTCTTTCTGATAACACCTTTTCTAACTGGTATGAGGGAGTATCTCATTAGGGTTTATTTATTTATTTATTTTGCATTTTCCTGATGATTAGAAGTATTAAACACTTTAAAAATATATTTGTTAGCATTCAGGCCTTTTCTTTTGAAAAATATTTGTTCAGATTCTTTGCCCCTTTTTTTGAATAAGATTATTTGTTTTCCTGCTGTGGAGTGTTTTGAGTTCCTTATTTGTGTGGGGGGTGGGTAGCCATTCATCCACATGTATTGTTTGCAAATTTTTTCCCATTCTCTAGTTGTCTCTTCACCTTGTTATTTGTTTTCTTTGCTGTACAGAAGTATTTTAATTTAATTCATCTGCAGGTGGGTATTCAGTTTTCCCATCACAATTTATTAGGAAGACTGTCTGTCCTTACTTTGTGTTTGTGACACCTGTAGGGAAAACCAAAAGACCATGAATTCTTGGTTTTGTTGTGGGAGGAATTCTATCCTGTTTCATTGGTTATTATGTCTGTTGTTATGCCACAAGGCTGTTTTAATTACAGTAGCTTCAGGTTTTTCTTTTTTCTAAATCGCTTTGATTATTTAGGATGTTTTGTGGTTCCATACAAATTTCAGGAGTTTTTTCTTCTTTCTGTGAAAACTGACATTGGAATTTTGATAGGA